ACAGCCTGTTTCATTTTAGGAGGCCAAAAGGCTTGCTGAGCTCTGTCTCAAACCTAAGCTTCAAGGTTTAGTTAAATGGAAGCTCTACCTTCCATTTATTTATTTAAATTTTATTTTATTGTTTAAAATATTACAAATAGTAGTACATATGTCTTCTTCCCTCCCACCCCCCCATTGACCTTCCCCCGGCCTCCCCTTCTACTTTCCATTTAGAATGATGTAGCATAGTGGGAGTGAAGATCCTCTCAGTGAAGTAAAATGAAAGAAAGAAGTGAGTTTCTGGTAGCCTGCTTAAAAATAATTCTCTTGCCCTGGTCAGTTTTCTTAGTGGTTAGAGCATCGGCCTGCAGACCGAAGGGTTGAGGGTTCATTTCTCAGTGAGGGGCATGCACCTCAATTTCAGGTTCTATCCCCGGCCCTGGGCTCATGCAGAGGCAACCAGTCAATGTGTCCCTCTCACATTGATGTTTCTCTCTCCCTGTCTCTTCCTCCTCGCTTCCACTCTCTCTAAAAAATCAACGGGGAAAAATACTTGGGTGAGGATTAACTAACAAAACAAAAAAATACAAAGAAAAATTAAAATCTCAGCATGTTACCTACCGTTTCAAGAGTTCATGTGCCCAATGCTTCAAAAGGCCAATACTCAAGTTGTGGCAACTACAAACAGACTTTAATTTTCCTCACAGAGAAATAATAAGTAAGGCAGGAATAATGTAATATGCTTGAGGATATCAAAATACATATTTGTTTGAAGCTATTCAGTATCCTGTTCAACTATGTTTTAACTTGTCACAAATGTAGACAGAAAGGGCCTAATGGTGATATGTATGCGTTTTTCATCTTTCCCGGCTGACGAATGAGAAGCAATCATTCCATCAGCCCTATACTATGACAAGGCCCTTACTAGCTATAAATAACAGCTCTATAATCACTTCTAATTGCTACCTTTTCTTCCCCATTGGCACTCAATTCCATTAGGAACAGTCAGACTGGGTTTTCTTAAAAGACCGCTTTAAGAAATTGGAAGGAAAAAGAATACAGTATTCTTTCCTTGCCCTTTCCCTTCTGTATATGGTTCTTATTTCAAAAGAAGCTGTAAGCACAGAAATCAGTATCCAGAGAGACGCACTAAAATCTAATCTTGCCTTCATGTCTTCCAGATGGTCCTGAATGATTCATTGGCCAAGCAACACATGGCACAGAGAGCTGCAAACATAACACTGCACAATGCCTCAAGAGCATGGTGTAATGGGCCAGGGACACAGTCTCGCTATTGTTTCCATGTAGAGGTAAAGACTATTCAGGCATCTTCAGCCTAAAGAGTTGGGCACCAGCATGGCAATATTTGTCCCAAATGCTGAAAAGTGCATATGCAGGTGGGCGGGTCAGAGAGTGAGGTGGGAGGAAAGACTGAGAAGAAAAAGGAAGAAAGCTTCTCATACCCATCCTCTTAGCACACATTCTACACGGAAAGCCCTCTTACCTGGAAGATACAGCCTGTTTCATTTTAGGAGGCCAAAAGGCTTGCTGAGCTCTGTCTCAAACCTAAGCTTCAAGGTTTAGTTCTCTCTCTCTCTCTCTCTCTTTCTCTCTCTCTCTCCCTCTCCCTCCCTCCCTTCTTGCCCCTTCCATTCTTTCTCTAAAGATCAATGAAAAAAATATCCTCAGGTGAGGATTAAAAAAATAAAATCCTCTTATTGTCTTTTAAATGATCATCTTTGGAAAGATTAGAATTGGTCTCTAGAACATTTTTTAAAAAAAATATATTTTATTGATTTTTTACAGAGAGGAAGGGAGAGAGAGAGAGAGTTAGAAACATTGATGAGAGAGAAACAGCGTTCAGCTGCCTCCTGCACGTCTCCCACTAGGGATGTGCCCGCAACCCAGGTACATGCCCTTGACTGGGAATCGAATCTGTGACCCTTTGGTGTGCAGGCCCATGCTCTAACCACTGAGCAATGTTGACCAGGGCAATGCTTCTCTTCTTTTTACACCCATTTCCCTTTTCATAAGGGGTCTTGAATCCAAACAGCCTTAATACTCGTTTAAACTCATTGTATAAAACCTATACTAAGATTTCTATTTCTTACTTTGAGGATGTGGTTCCAGCAAAAAATTACCACATCACATGTTTAGCTTTATAATGAGAATTTTGTCAAGAGAGGCTCCCTCTTGGGGGCTGGGAGGAGTTCCTTCTAGTTTAGGGAAGGGGGATTTTAAGTTATTCCACTTGTAACTGTAGCCTCATTGGTCATATAATTTTCATATATACATATAAAGAAGTTCTACTTTCTATACTTTCAGCCCACCTAAAAGTTACCTTTCCTATTCTTTACCTTGCCTACTCTGAAGCCATTCACCATTCATTTGTTCAAACCTAAGGCAAACTTTAAAGGCTGGTAAGAGATGGAACTCAAGGCAGAAGGAATTGCACATATTTAGAACTCAGCACTGCTAAATTTGGTGATTTCCACAAATTTGCCTTTGGGTCTCCCCCTTTTGCTAGGATTCCTGCCAATATTCTGAAAATAATGGTCTAAACTATAAAGATCTTGAAAACAACTACTTTGTGAAATGAAAATAGCACATACTTGCTATCACCAATAACTCTGTATCATTACATTTAGAAAGCTGAGTATTTGGCATTCCTTAAAAAGCCACCCAGCAAGCAATGAGGCAGGGAGAAATACTCTGAAGGTATCTGTTATTACAAGTTAATATTTAATAAGAGATGCTAATAGAAACTAATAAAAAGCATATCTATTACACAGGTACTAATTGTTCTCTGGTTACTTAGATGTTAGCTTTGTTTTCTTAATTGAATTTTAGGATGTCCAGGTTATCTGTCATCCTATTGATAAATGAGGTTGATGAACAGATCTGACTGCTTGGCAAGAATCCACTTTCTCTCTCTCTGCCCCATCTGCATCCCGTCCAAGCAGGGCATCCTTTGGCAAAAAGAACTTCTATATTATAAACTCCTTAAAGACATGACTCTAATTTAATAGTTCTTTGATACCCTACCAAGGACCTAGCACAGTGCTCAGTCTATAGCATGGTCTTAACATGTCTTTCAAAGCAGGAATTTATATGTATATATTGGGGGAAAGAAAATCTATTTCTTAAAAAAAAAAAAAAGCCTTGACCTACTTGAAAGCGATGATGTTAGGATGCTTCAACTTCCTCAAATGCTTGATATCCGTCTCATTCTGTTCTCTCACTTTCTTGATGGCCACCTCCTCCGCTCGGAACTTGCCCAGAAAAACAGCTCCTTGGGCTCCGCTACCCAGCCACTGCAGCTCTGAGATCTCCTCAAATGGCACTTCCCAAGTATCTAGGCACACAAAAGAGGAACAAGCTTAAAAAGATCTTGGAATTTGCTTAGGGACTATTCTACAAGGCCACTCCAAAGGTACCAACTTTACCATGCCCCAAAATGACTCTACACTTTGTCTCCCACCTGGTAACTCACCAAAAGTTAGAACCTTTCTGTGTGCCTTGAGACTATAGATTAGATATTCCCATGAGTTAGTCTGTATCAATTTTTAACCAGTGAAATCAAGCAGATCAGAGATCTCCAATATACTCTCCTCCAAACAAAACATACAGGGTGTCCCAAAAAATGTATACACACACTTTGAATAATTATAAAGGCAGTGTTTATTAAAATACATTTCATTTTCAAAATTGAGCTATCAGCTGTTAAAGTGTGTATACAATTTTTGGGCACACCCTGCATACTGACACTGCCTTCTCTGCACTTCAAGCTTGCATGTTCAGTCAATTCCCCTGTCTCTACACCACTATCCCTACCCCATCACCCATTATAAATGTTGTTTTATTCCTCTTCGAATTTCTAGTCAGGTGCTCAATTAATCCTTGCTGAATGAATTTTCAATGAATCTCACCTAAGAATCTAATTATGCATAATACGTGTATTAGTATTTACCGTTTATGTAGTAGTTACTATATGCCAGACACTAGCATACTGTTTTACATGTCTCATGTGTTTAATCCTTACAACAATCCTACAAGTTCAGCCTTATTATGGTTATTTAAAGATGAGAAAACTCGTTAGGGGTAGGGATGGTAAGTGGCAGAACTGGGCCTAGAACTCTAGAATTGGCTGATTCCAGGGACAGTGCTTCTCTACTATACCCCATTGCCTCTCATGCAGTAACTAAGAGTGTCATTAGTCATGATATCTCTCTATATAAAAGCCTAAGTGACCAAACAACCAAATGACCAGTTGACCAATCGCTATGGTGTGCACTGACCACCAGGGGGCAGATGTTCAATGCAGGAGCTGCCCCCTGGTGGTCAGTGCACTCCCACAGCAGGAGCACCACTCAGCTGACCAATGGGCACCAGAGGCAGGGCCCATGGTTGGTTAGCACTGCTGAAGCAGCACGAGCCTCTCCTGATCGGAACTGGCTGGGTGCGAGCCCACAGCAGGTGCAGCAGGGCTGGGATGAGCGGGAGCAGCAGGCAGGAGCAGCAGGTGGTGTTGGACTGCCAGTTTCTGCCAGATCCTTGCAGGCTACGCTGAGGGACCCCACTAGTGCACAAATCCATGCACTGGGCCTCTAGTTTTTCCTCATATAGATATTTATTCTTGTAGTTCTCATATTTTCATGTTTCTCTCTTTTTTAGAGTTTTATTTTTATTTTTGGTACCAAAAATTGTACCAGGGGTTATTTCTAAGTGGTGGTATTATTAGTGATTCATATGGTTCTTTATCCTTTTCTGCATTAAAAATGCTTAACTGTAAGTGTATATTACTTTTATAATGAATTAAATGCTATTTGAGACAAAGCACTTCAAAAACCCAATCAATATGTGCTTTAATCTTGTGAAACTTAAAAGGAAGAATGTAATCCATTGATCCTTCTCCTCATCCCCCTTTTGCCAGTGCGTCATCACTGCACTGGTAAGAAATGAACATCAAAGAGCCAGGAGCCCCAGGAGTGAGGGGAGGATGATGACAACGTTAAAGGTTATGAGAAATTCTTGTTGGATCACTGATCACTAAAAGACTGCTATTTAGAGAACACTGAACAAGGTGGTGTTGAGGTGGCTTTGAAGATATTCTGGTCTTGAAAGCAAATCAACTTACCATTTGCCATGTGAAGCAAGAGCAGAAAGAGTTCATCAGTATCCAGAAGGGAACTACATTTCCCTCGTCTCTAATTTCTCCACTTTAGGAGAAAAGAAATTCTGTAGGCTCTTAATAAAATGTGGCTTCTCATCACAATGGTTAAACATGACCTTCGAAATGACCTCATCACAATGGTTAAAACATGACCTTCAAAATGTAACTATGTAAAGCAGAAAATATTACAGTGAGGGTGGTTTATATCAGCAGTATTAAATGTTTCTATGCTATTGAAAGGGACTATATGTTATATCAAAGCAAATCTCTAAAATACAAATAACTCACAAATAAGAAATCACCTAAGGAACAAATAATATCAAATGTGATTAGGGAGAAAGCAGTAAGTTATAGACTTGACTGCTTTCAATATCTTTATGGTTTCTAATCACTGATAAGTATTAAGGGGCTCGAGCAGTCTCACTTTCGTCCCCATGGGCTTGTTTGTGCAGCACACACAGGCGCAGATATTGATGCATACTCTAAGATAGTTTTACTATTAGGGTCAGTGAAGAACTAAACATAGTGTCATTGTGACCATCCTGAGGGTGGAATAAGGTATGATTATAGGATATGGGGCAAGAGCATAATTGGATAATATTTCTCTGAATAACTTTATAAAAGCCCAAGTTACCCTAATTTTTAATACAATAGCTATTAAAATTGGACAATCTTTGGGTGTCTTTTTTTCCTATCTACTCAATCTTTATTTACTGTTAAATACTCGAAACATTAGAAAATACCAGAAAAACCCCTATTTTATCTGATATCCCACCCCATACTCAGTTTTCATCTTCTCTTTTAGTCTTTGTTCACATGTATACAGCTATGTAAAAGTTGTATATATGTATAATTTTTTTCATGTATTATGTATTCCCCATGTACTTATATAATTTTTATTTTAAGCTTTAATAGTTGTTTACTGTATACTCATCTTTTTATTTGGTACTTAAATATTTCAATCTTTTTGTTTGCTAATTTAAATTTGAAATTAAAACACTTTTTTCTTTCTTCATATTTATTTCCTCAAACTCAATTCTTAGATTAAAGAGCAGTTTCTTGGCTCTTGGTATACATTCCAAATTGCTACCCAAAAGGATTTAGCTCATTTTTGCTGACAGCAGCAATGTATGTTCCTTTTATAACAACTTTGCCAGCCACGAATATTGCCAATTATTTTTTGGTGCTAACTTAATTAGGTCTAAAATACTATTTTATGTTTGTACTGCTTTAATTGTTAGCAATGTGGAATATTTCCTTTACATTTGCTTACTATGCACATCTATTTTGTAGAAATTATCAAATTTATCCTTTGTCTATTTATCTAGTAGGGTCTTGTAGTTCTCATAAATTTGAAAGAACTTCCTCTCTATTTCTTTGAAAACATGAAGAGAATATATATATATAATTTTACAAAGGCCTTTTCCTTTTAATTTTATTATTTTTTGAACAACATATTTTGTGGTTGCCTGAAATTTTCCTTGTAATGTCTTCTACTGGCTATTCTATCCTCTAAGAGTTGATCTTTAAAAACTTTAACCTTTACATCCATCTGGAGTTTATTTAGGTGTATGATGGGAGGACTGGTTTAAATTAAAATTTTTCCATATTGTTATTTAGGAATTCTAAAACAATATCTTAAGTAACTCTTTCTTTTTATATCATTTTATAATGTTTACATTGTAATTTATTATATTTTAAAGAAATAATGCCTATTATTAATTATTTTTTCTTTTCTTTTTTAAAAAAATCCTCACACAAGGATGTTTTTATTGATTTTAGAGACAGAGGAAGGTGGGGGGAGAGAAGGATGGAGAGAGAGAGAGAGAGCGAGTGAGAGAGAGAGAAACATCGATGTGAGAAACATCTATCAGTTGCCGCCCATATGTGCCCCAACTGAAGATCAAACTCACAACTAGGTATGTGTCCTGACCAGGAATTGAATGGTGCAACTCAGTCAACTGAGCCACCTGTCCAGGGTGTATTTTTAAGTATTTTTATAAAATGAGAAGTAAATAAATTGGCATTCAAATACCAAAAGTTGAGGATATTATAATAAGGACTAAAATATTCCTCTACCAACAATAGCTCATGCCTATGTTATTCAGCCAAGTATCAATTAATATGAAAAAAATAAAGGAGATAGCATTGGTATTCAAGAACACAGAGTATAAAATAAAATAGTATTTCAACTACCTTCGTATCAATCTTTTTACTAGAACTGATTACCAAAAGTAAAATGATGGATGTGATTTAGTCTTCTTGTCCTGTCCCAAAGTCCCTTCAATATCTAGTAAGGAGGTAAAGGACAGAAGAATGGCAGGAAAAAAACAAACAGCAATAAGAATGTGAAAAATTGGAGGCCTAGACTGTTGATGAATGAGATCACTATCCTCATAATAATGGAAATTGGTTGTGCTCCCTCCAGAGTTAGCCCCAGACTTTCTGCTGCTTTTACATCTGTCCCTGGTACTCTTCCCAGCTTTCATCTTCTCTCTGATTCATCACTATGACTACTATCTTAGTTCCAATATCCACCAGGATTCTTAAGACTGAGAAAAAGCCACATGCCCACCCACTTTAATGCATAAATTCTCCTTGTTTATTCAGACATGCCTATGACAATACTTGCTTTGAGACTGGGAATTATTTGGAAATAAAAGATTTCAATTACACATAGTGCTACCTTACTTGGATTTCACCACCAACAAGCTAAACGGCAGATGAGGACATCATTAAAATTTTTTTAAAAATCTAGTGAAATTTCCTCATAAGTACCAACCGCAGGGACACATCTGTTACACGAGCTGTCCCTTGGTTGACTGTAATCCAGGATTAAAGATAATCTCCCTGATCCCAGGCTGACAAGGAAGAAACACTTAGTTTCTGGCTAGCAAATCTCTCCCACAGCCCACAGCCACACCAGCCCACAATAGGATATCTTATCATCTGCTGAAGAGTTAGGCAGCTGCTGTGTCCTTGTGAGCTTAAACTGACCAGGCCTGTTTCTTATTTATTCCTGCAATAATCCTTTCTGAAAGTCACATAATCAATTGGAAGACAAATTAAATACAAGTTGATAGAAAAATAAAATTTAAAGGCTCCTTTCACAAACACAGAATGTGTCTTTTATACCTTTTATATGTCTAAACCTCAATGCTGCATTTCGGTCCTGAGACCTTCAACTTACCACCAAAATAATTATGAGACTGGACAAGTTAAGACCCTAAAAAACAAATAGAGTTTATAGCATAAGCAGATATTTGTAGGGTTTGTGTCTATTCAACGAGGGAACTTTAAAAAAATAATAACTTAAGGGTTGTTATCTCTAGAATGTGGGATGACAGGTCATTTTTATTTTCCTCTTTGTGCTTATCTTTATTACCAATAATAAAAAAAAAAGACTGTTTAACATAGGAGTTCCCAGCTTTTGTGTGTCAAGGAATGCTTTTTTCATTTACTTGAAAACTTAAGATCATTGTGGGCGGGGGGGGGAGTGGAATGCGCAGAGTATGGGAATATGTATGAAAAAGAGAGACATACAGACAGACACAAAGACAGACAAAATCCAGATAATGACAAAGAATTTCTGCATGGAGCTCGAATGGAGGCTGACAAATCCTGAAAAGTACACCTGGAATTGACAGATCTACCAGTAGATTCCAATATATTTATGGGGGGGAAGTATAGAGGGAGAGGTTGGTGTGGTTTAGAAAGAGTATTTCACAAACAGGAGAAACAGAATGCATGAGAAAAGTGGTTAATGGCGATTAATGGCGACTGGCTGTTGTGGAAAAGCTGTCAACACTCCTGATAAAAGAGAAGAATATATTTTTAAGGGAGGGCCACAGAGTCCAATATTCATTATAAAAGAAATAAAAACAATCTTATTTCTGGTCCATATTTTTTCCCTTCTACAATTTTAAATGAGAGATCTCATAACAACTGAATCTTTTACACAAGGCTACAAAGATGTGTATCAAAGGCCTTAAAAGCAACAAACCCTTTGAACCCAACCATTCCTCTTGTAGGAATTTATCCTAAGGAGAATCAAAGATATGTGCAAAAATTAAGAAATAGACAAAAGTTCATTGCAGTGTGACTTATAATCACCAAAAATAGCAAACGAATTGCCAAGTAATAGAGGGCTGCTTAAAGAAATATTGGCATGTTCACATGATTTAATATTATGCAGCCACTAAAAATGATGTTGACGAAGTATATTTGATGATATAGAAAAAGTTCACCTTATGAAGTGAAAAACAGTATGACTCTATTTGCTTTTAAGGCACACATACACACACAAAAGGACTAATGTAATATATGCCAAAAACATTAACGGTGGTTATTCTTAGGATGCTGGGATCACAGATTATTTTAACTTTTTTTGGGGGGTGGATAGAAGGGGTGAACCTGTATGTCCCAAATTTTCTACATATATTTTGCTATCAGAAATAAAATGTTCTTTTAAAGAACATAAGTGAAGTTATAAAGAACACTAGGGCCATGTGTTCTCTTTACCTCAGAACCATCATGCTGGAATTAGAATACATGAATATACGTGCTACACAGTGATGGGAGTTAAAATTTTACTTTTTAAAAAGCAGGAGGATCTAGAAATAATGATGCATCTCAAGAATGGTTAGATATTATATCTTTCCTCAAACTGTGGGCTTCCTGTATCTTGACTGAAAGAAATAAATTCCTTTTATGACACCCTCAGGCAGGCTTGCAATCATCAGGGGTAGTATCATGTGGCTTCCATCTGGTTTGGGATCAGTCCAGTGGTCATCAGACTTTTTGACTGTATAAACTTTCAATAAAAATTTTTAAATATGCAAATATCATGTGATTTATTTATAAATTAGATATCTACACTTTATTAAAATACCAAAACTATATAAAAAGACACGTGAAAATAGAAAGTTAAAATGATGAGATGAAAGGAACAGAAACTCTAACATTTTCTTCCTTATAACACCATGATTGTCTTATCTGTACTCTACTTTGGACACCATTGGATTGGACAACCACAAAAGATGGGCTTCGACCAAAAAAATCCACCCGAATGTGAATCTGTTCCATTCAGAAGATCTATGGGAAACTGATATGGGTATTCACTAGGCACTAGTTCTTTAATTTACCCACAGGCCAAAGATTATGCAGCTAATGATGATGGTGTCTTTACACAAGAAATACCTCCCAGGTCTATATGATAGCTTACCTTGCTGCTGTAATTTGTAATCAGTGGAATACGCCTTCCCAATGATATTCCATACAGGCCTTAAGCATCCAAACAGTCCTTCAAGAAACCCACCACTGCCTCCGCCTGACCTGCTGATCTAAATCTTGATGTCTTCTGTTCCGCTCATGCTCTCTCCATCTACAGTGTTGCTGTTCCCCTGAGACACGGCCATTTCCGATTCATCTTGTTCCCTTAGCTGAAGAACACTGTTCTCAAACTGGTCCCTGGAATCCTCGCTCACACTTGTCAACACTGTTGTGGTGATGGGGCTGTGCATGCCCTCCGTTAGCTCGGTTTGCACCACCCCCTTGTCCTGCTGGTCCTGAAGGAGCTTGGGTGAAGGGTGGCTCCCCATGGGTGGGAGTTCATCTTGCAGTCCATTGAAGGTTTTGTTTTCACTCAAGGGTAAGTGTGGGGAGGAGGAGCAGCTCAGGTGCTCCTGAGGGTCGGCCATCGTGCCATGAGTGTGCCCGAGGCCCTGAGATGACACTCAGAGGATTATCTGAATAGAGTTCTGATGTAAGAGAGGGCTCCAAAACCTGGGGGAACAGGAGGAGGACATGAGATCAACCTTTCTTCAGTCATCTGCACTACACTTCTGTTTATAATAATAAAAACACTGAAACAATGAGGTTAGTTAAACAGTGGTGCATATCCACATGATGGAATATTGTGCAGCAATTAAAAATCATGCTGAAGAAGAGCATTTACTCACATGAGAAAATTCATGACATATTAGTATAAAAACACATTAGAACAATATATTCTACATAAACTGTTTTTAAATGTATTTAAAAGGATACATAAACACTTACACAAGAAAAAGGACTGAAAGGATATATCCAAAGAATTAACAATAGTTAGTTCCAGGTGGTTAGACTGAGGGGGTGGTGGTGGTTATATTGTCATGTTTTTTGAGATATTCCAAGCATTCTGCATTAATACAGGATGTTGCGATAGGCCCAATGTTTGTGTCCCTCCCAAATTCATATGTTGAAACCCAATCTCCATTGTGTTGATGTTTAGTGGTGGGGTCATGAGCTCGAAGTCCGCAGGAATGAGACCTTATAAAAGAGACCTGGAAGAGTATCCCCTGTCTTTTCTGCCCTGTGAGGACACAGTGAGGAGATGGCTGTCTATGAACCAGGAAACAGGCAATGAAGATGAGGGGGTAGATTTGAGGCAGAGTTAATAAGATGAAGTGATTGATTAAACATAGGGGTGGGTAAGGAAAAGGGAGAGGAATAACTTTCAGATAACTTATATAGGATAATGGATAGATGGGCATGTCATTAACTGAGACAGGAAACACCAAAAGGAGATTTAGAAAGAAGATAACTAGCTCAGTTATAGACAGAGGTTTTAAGGCCTACTGTGTATGTCATGAACTGAACCAGGCTTTTATTTTTGTTATCTGATTTTAAAAAGACACTTTGTAGGAAAGGATTTGAAGAGAGGTTATGATGGGTGCTTCTTTAGCTCAGGGACAGAAGTATCAAAATAATACAAGGGTGAACCAAAGTGAAGTTAAAGGTGTATTTATTAAATATGTGCTAAGAGCTGTGTTGCAATGGGCTAGGTTCTGCAGATACAGAACATTACTTGTTGCCATTACTACTTTTAATGCTGATTAAGACAAAGGGCTTTATAGTTTATAGAGCCCTATTTACATAATTTAGCCATATGGTGGTAAACCAGCTCTCCAGGGGGAAAAAACCAATAACCCAATTTGTAGGATTTGTAATTTCCCTGGGATAAATACTTCCATCATGGCAGATTTTAATCTAATAACACTTTAACAACCTGCTTGCAAAGTTACTCAATATTGGACAACTGGCTCTTACAAATTGATGTATAAGCCATCTCCAGCACTCATAGTCCTGGTAAGCGCGTCTTGTCATTTTACATAGAAGTAAGAAACTTTTCTAAGGTCATATGTGGAGTAGGAGGTAGAGCAGGAATTAAAATCGAACTCAAAATTTAGATTCCTAAACCCCCTTGCCTTTAATAACACGATGGCCCTTCCTTTCTTAAGAGTGCTTCATGGTTAAAAAATACTGTTGCCTCTGATCTTGATGCAAACGTTTGTCCCCCGTGTAAGGAAGAGAAAACATGGGATCATTGTCCCTGTTTTTCAAAGGACACGAGGGCCTAGAGACAGGTATGTGCTAAAGGTTACAGAGGAGGATTGAATACCAGGTTAATTTTCCTTATGCCCAAACTCTCTCCTGTACCATAACAGTCTCTGTACGATGTGAGACACAGTTCCTTCCTTTCAGAGCTAGCAAACTAGTCAAGGAGTTAATAATTACATCAAGGGAATCACCTCCTGACTGTTCCCCACCCATGATAAATGAGCTGTGAGAAGAAAAACAATAATGGGGGTAGGAGTAGTGAACTTGGGCTGCAGGAGACAGGTAGGACTTGAGAAGAACCTTTGAAAGGAAGATAAGTTTAGAACAGACAGAAGAAAGGAAGGCAGGGAGGAAGAAAAGACCAGGGTATGGAAGGGGCTGATAACTTAAATTTTAGGGCAGAGAGAAATTTTAGGGCTGGGCAACTGCCTGGGAATATAAGGTTGGGGGAAAAAGAGAAAGACAAAGAAAAGCTGGATTTATGTGTTACAGCAATAGCTGCTGGCTGAATGGACCCCCATTACCCTCACCCCATCCTCCCTACTTTGTTGCCTTTGTGCTCATCTCTACGTTTTGACATTACCGATTCCCTCATTTTGCATTCTTGCTAATCTCCTGCTACAACCTTGGCTGTTTCTTGCCTTTGGTCCTTCCAACCTTGTTCTGCCTGATCTCTTTGAAGACTGCTGACTTCAGATTCTTTGACCTGGCCACTGCCTCAGCCGTTCCTTCCAGTCTGCCTTTGCCATTGGGACTTGTGGTTATCCTACACAGCACAGCGTGTCCGTTATGCTATCGGCTCCCATTAGACTTGAGGACATTGCATACTGTATATGCGATTTTCAGCCAAACACCTATTTGTGCAATTTGTTCTTTGAATCAAACTATGGGACTTCATATTAATTCTTAGTAAATTTCTATTCTGTTGATTTTTATCCTGAGTTTCTCCCTGATGACATCATATTGGAATGAGCTCACACACAAAAAGTTAGAAAAACATGTGTTTGTTTTGTAATCTCTTCCCTTTTCCAAGAGGTTAAGGGTGCACATGAAGCAGACCTGTTGCCACTGGCGCTGGGAATGAGTACAGAAGAGAACTTCAGCATGGGCATCACCTGCGATTTGATATTTAAGAGATCAAGGAATAACAGGACCTTCGAGGAATACAGTCCAACCCACTGGTTTTACATAGAAGAAGCAAATCTCAGAGAAACTGCTGACTTGCTCGACACAACCAAATGGTGACAGAGCTGGGATGTGACCTCTTCCTCATCCCAAGAAGTGTGGTCAAAGAAGCTTGTACCAAGTCCACTGTCAGTGAACAAAGGCAGAGAAATGGAGAGACATAGAACAAAGGGAAGGAAACCATTGCCATGACTATATGCCAATATGATCAGAGCTGACTCTACATTTAAGGAGAGTGTAGGAGGATAAAAATATCTAAATTTTACCTGTGTTTGTGTGCACACCTACAAACGGGCACTGCACAGTTTAGAGGCTGGTAAGTGGAAACAGAGGGAATGCAAGCAGCCCCACTAGCTCTGCCTCTGTCTTTGTCCTCTCAATCCCACTCTCCCTGACCAGATTTTGCTCAAGTATCTTCATGGGAATTGACTGGATCTTCTTTAAAAAATTTTTTTTTAATTGATTTCAGAGAGGGAGAGGAAGAGATAGAAACATCCTATCTAATAAAAGAGAAACATGGTAATTGGCGTACGACTGCTACCCTTCCCATTGGCTAATCAGGGTGATATGCAAATTAAATACCAGCCAAGATGGCAGCTGGCAGCC